GCTCCTTTGTGGCGTCGGGGCTTCCACACAGCGGCGCGGAGCGAGCTACGGGGGCGTTGTGAACTCGTGTTACTGCCCTGAACGGGCAGAGCTTGCTTCTGTTTCCAAATGATGCGGTCAAGACTGTCGGGGAGGTGGTCAGTGAATTAAGAGCGTAATTCTCTTACACTTGAAATCCAGACATTGTAAGAAAAAATCATTCCAGTCTGGTCTGAAAGTTGAACAAAAAAACCCAAGAACCTGTGGTCAGGCTGACTCTAGGCTCTAACCTGAAAGAGTTTAACTGGTAGGTTTGTGTTTTGAGTAATTAAAAATCGATTTCTTTCCACAGGACTACAAGGGCCAAAAATTAGCAGAACAGATTTTTCAAGGAATCATTCTTGTCTCTGCCGTAAGTATGCTAGAACTGTGGGCGATAACAGAAAGGACTATATTTTGTTTTCCCATCTTACAAACAAGTGTTTTTTCTGATTGTTTGCCTTAGCCGGGTCACTAAAAGCTTTAGACAAAATCGGAAAGGCTATCACAGATTAAGAATTTTCTTCTTTCAGTCTTTCACTTTCCTTATTGGCCTACAATTTTGAAAACAACAAAGTTTGAGCTACACTTTTGAAAAACCTACTTAACTCCTCTCCCTCTATCCCACAACTTGATCATGGTATGGGAAATTTTTTCCTTTGTTTAAAGTCTGATTTTCTTCACGCACCTCCAGATAATTGGTTTCATCTATGGCTACATCATTGAACAATTTGGATGGACTGTCTACATAGTTATGGCTGGATTTGCTTTATCATGTTTGGTAAGATTTATTTTTTTTTCCCCCCCAAACCAGAAAATACATGCACCATTTAACCTGAAATAATCCTTGAACTAAGGGGCTGTCAGCACAGACAAACCATTTGCTGTGTATTTCAGATTAATATGTATCTATCTGTGCCTTTTCTCAAATGCGAGTAAGATATTAGAGAGCATTGCAAGTTAATACTGGTACGTAACATTGAATTAGTTTTTCATTCCAATTAAACGTAACTTTTAAATCAAGCTGATAGCACTATTAACAGAATGGACAGTTAGGTTTTCTGTGGAGTCGGAGCTTGTCAGGAAAATTTTGCAGCTGGCCCATGGCAACCGAGGAGAGGCCAGGACATACAGTGTAGAATTGCAAAGTAATTCCTTATTCGTGCACATGAGGTGTCTCGTTCCAATGGGAGCACACCGAATGCAGTTTTACACAAGGTTCTTACACCTTTCAAGCCTTGGGATACAACATGATTTGACCAACCCCTACTTAACACAAAGGTGCTACCGTGTTGAAAAGCCCCTGTAACTTTGTGGCCTCATCATCCCTCTGCTGCTTTCTTGATCTAAACATCCCTGGAGTCGGTCTTGCCACAGTAACTTATCTAAGATGGCAGCAAAGGGGAGGGTTTCACAGAGGTGTTGGCGAGGCCAGGATGCTGGCGTCACCTTGGTAGTCCAGGGGTATCCTTTTTTTCTTCAGGGTGGGTGCTTTCGTCCTCCTCCTTGCAATGAGCTGGGGTCCTTTCATCATGCGTACGTGAGCAAGACTACGCGTATCTCTTTATAGAGGAAATTGCGTGAGCTTTCTCAGTTGGTGCAATAGTTAGGGAATGAGGTTTTCCTAACGAGCTGTACAAAACACTTCTCTAGCATCTTGATTTACACATTCTGACTTAATTCCTTTTCTCCAAGCTAACGCTCCCGCCGTGGCCTATGTACCGCCGCAATCCTCTGAAGTGGCTACCTGTCCAAGAGTCAGGAACAGAAGAAAAGAAGGCAGCAGACAGAAAGCCAAAGAGACATGCTAAAAGCTAAAAACTGCGCTTCTTCATGTTATTACCTTGTTAAATTTTGTTAAATACATTTCCACTGGGAGGTACTTCTTGGCTTAGTGTTTGGGTTTTTTCTTACTACTTTGTATTCTAGAATTAGTACAACAAGATCTGGAGAGAGCGTGAAGGCTCTCTAAATTTTGGCTGGAGTTTCAGCAAAGTCACTGGGAAGGCAGGGGTCGGGGGGATTAACTTTAGGTGGCTACTGGAGATAACATCTCCTTTAAGTATTTTAATAAAAGGGAACAAACACAGCGAATCAAATCAAGTATGGTTAAGCTGCTGCTGTAGCCTAGAAGATAACACACAGCTGGACTTCTACAGTATTTCTAACCGTGTGTGAAACAAGCTAGCAGTAGCGTCAGGTTGTAAGAAGTACTGTAAAACAGTATATACCCCACAGTTCTGAAAAATGCTAAGAACTGGCAAGCGTTCTAGGACAGGAGACTGCAGAGTGGCATTTCTTGTTTAAAAGAAATTTGGGTAGAGACAGTAACATCTTGGCTCTGCATAATAAAATACCTCTTGAAAGCTTGTAGCTTGAGCATCAGGTAGGCAAGAGGCAGCAGGATCCATAGGTATTGCACTTTTTTTACTACTGCCTGTCACATTAGGTCTCCCTCATGGGTGCTGAAGGTTACA